TATCTAGTGCCTGCCCAAACTTATAAAATAAAAATGGAATAAAGTGGGTAGTTAGAATAAAAGGATCTCTGATATATGAATATTTATGGGGATGTTTCCAGGCAGCGTTTCATTTTACAAACCTCTACAGCTGAAGATTTAATCCTTGGCTCGAACAGTTTGCCTTCCTGCGATGGTTTTATTGTAGCACCATATTTAAAAAAAAAAAAAAAGATCAGATAAGATGCAGAATCAAATGCTTTTTTGGAAGCTCTGTGTAAGTCGCAAATGTTGAGTATTTTCAGCCTGGCAACTTCAGACGAGCACAGTCCTGGTTCCTGATCCCCAGCATCTCTCAGAGCAAGTTAATATGAATGTGGTGCTTCATGCATTATTACATGCCTGGCTTATCCCTGCTCACTGACCTGGTCTCTCTCTCTCTCTCTCTCTCCCCTCCCTTCCCCCTCCTTGCTCCTTTGATGTAGCTTTCGCTCCCAGAGGAACAGAATGAAGTAACAAGAAACGGCTGCGAATCCAAGGAACTAGTCTACCTTGTGCAAATCTCGTGTCAGGTAAATGTCATGTTTTTCCCCCGTATCTTGCATACAGCATTGCATTGTTTAATAATGTGGCCTCATAATACGTTGATGTCACTAGATTTTGATGTACATTTTTTCACCTCTTTGCTGGCTTAGTCCTCAGAAGGATTCTTTATGTTTTGCTGTGGTTGGCTAATTTTTAAGGAAAGAAATACTGAGCTTTAAAGGGCACAAAAACAGCTTGTTCAGCAAACAATCCTTACTGCAGTACATGGGGAGCTGTAAAATATTTAGCCAAAAGACACAGGCGTGGGTGCTTACGGGAGGAGGGGGGGGAGCGTAAATAGGGATATGTGCATACATTATGACTCGCATACAAAATATATATATATAAAAAAAAAAAAATAGAGGAAATGCTTGAGTAAGAACAGAGGCCAGTATCTCCCAGTGATTCAAGGATGGAGGTAGGGATCATGAGGTTAACTTGGCATCTTGACTTACTGTTTTGTTTTCTTTAATCACTTATTACTGGCGCATTACAGTTATGCAAATATGCAAATAACTGCTGCTTTGTACCACTGTCTTCCCTTCTTTAAAATGGGTATAGAACCCCCAGAATGAGTGGTCATTTCGTAAAGTACTTTCATGTCCTCAGATGATAGGGTAAACTCTATAAGTTCAGTGAGTGTGGGGAGACTTGGTAGATCCAGGTAGAAGTAAATTAAAACAGGAGGTGATGCCTAGTCATTTTTCCACCCTAGGTTGTAGCACTTCTCCCTAATATTACCTCTCTTGGCATGTTGTAAGCAAAGTAATTGTTAACTTACAGTACATTCATGGGAATAGCTGTTGTATTATTTGCACTCTCTTTATCTGGTTCTGTTGTGAAAGTCCAAAGAATTATAGGTAAGGGAATATTATGGACATATTGATAGTAGATCACAGCATGTCTGAATTGTCTGTGTGAGGAAGAGTTGGTTATTTTCCCACCGTGGTCTCATTTAAACGGGGAAGTTATAGCAAGTTGTATAAGCCAGGCTGTTAAATTACAGCACATGAGCAATTCCTCTCTGACTTCTTGCGTGCTTACTTTTGGGGTCTGTCTGTGCCAACTCTGCCATACACGAACACCTCGATGGCTCATTCCACTTGCCATATACCAAAGCCCAGGAAAGAGGCAGCCCCGACCACGCACGCAGAGGCTACTCTTAGGCTTTCAGCCCTGAGCACGTACTGTCTATTGGATGTCTCCTCAAGTCATCTCAAAGGCGGCAGCATTGCCTCAATCCTGAAATGTAGCACCTGCTAGGTGGTGTTGAGTGGACGGGGCATGCCTCTTGGCAGTGATCCCAGGTTCAGCATGGAAGAAGTACAGATATGACGTTAGCACCCAATTGGAGGGCCTTGCTGGGAGGCAACTTGTTTAACTTTGAAACTGGAGTAAGTTACCTCGTAATTAGTGCAAATTAAATGTTTCCACACAGGAGGGAGCTAGTGCAGAGTACCCAGGGTGCTATAAATTAACTCCTTAGCTTTCTACAAGCTAACTTCCCTGGCTTGATAAGCACATTTTTAAAAAAGTATCTTTGCATTAGAGAAGACCAGGGCCCGTGGGAGAAGAGGCCAAAATTTCACAGGTGAATGAAGTTTAAAATTGCCTGCGATTTGTGAGCATCTCACAGATACCATTTGCCCCTGCTATGCTTGTAGACCAGATGGTAATTTAACAAAAATCAACACAGCTGCTAAGAAGGCAGCACCAAAAAAATGATGAAAGGATCAAAGCTGCAATTTTTCAAGGAAGTTTGGATTGCTCTAGGTTTTAGAGGGGTGATTTTATTTATGCCCTGTTTATATCACATTGTGCCAAGTGCCATGAGCAGGAGGTGGATGCCAATAGACGATACTTGGGCAGATGCTGAGAACCTGCCACTTGTTTCAAGCGTCTCGAGTCTGAACACCCTCCCTCTGCTTCTGAAGTGTAGAGTTTTTTAACTCTGCTGGCCAGAGCAGCCCTGCTGAGTGCTCTCAGGATTAATTGGGTCTCCTCCAGTGTAACTAGGTGTCTGAACATTCAGGTCCTTAAAGATGGTAGCCAGCACTTGGACCATGCCAAGGAGTGTGTGTATAGCCAGCGCAATGTATACTCCTTGCCTGTAACAATCCAGTGCAACCAGGATTTATACTGATGTTTGTGCTGATGCTCCTGGGTGTTTTTTCCGAGATATAAAGGGCATTTATACACGTGCTCCAGGAGTATGGCGGCGGGGGGGGGTGGCGCTTTAATTAGAAGGGAGTCTGCTGGAGCACAGTAATTACCACGCTCCAGCAGACTCAGTTAATCGGGTCTGCTCTGATGCACTGTAATTACAGCGCATTGGAGCAGCTTCGCTGCTCACGTATAGGCGCCCAAAGAGACAGCATTTCAGAAAGTGGTGCCAGCATTTCAGGAAGACAGCATGTAAGTGAACCATCATAGAGAAGTCTTCAGCAGATAGGGGCAAGACACTGCTCCATTGAAGTGCCTCACCGAACTAAAGCAAAGTCATTGGGAGCTGTGAGTATTCACAAGACTCAGGATTGAGCTGCACAGCCTTAAAGGGTGAGCATACAAACACTCACTTGTCCCTCCTAGTTGTTCTCCCTCCTAATCAGCTAGAGTTCCTTGTTATCTCGACTAAGTTTCCATTCTTTTGCTTTAGTGCATATCATATCTTGCCAGCGCTAAGAAATTAGAGACACTTAACTTATAGCAGTAGTTCCCAACCTTTTTTGTGCCATGGACCGGCACAGGAGTGATGGAGCCGGCTGCCTACCTTCCAGGGTTGCCCTGCCCCCAATTTTCACCCCGTATGTCACTGCCAGCGGCGGAAGTCGCTCACTTGGGTGGACAGGTGGGGGGCTGAGTGTGGGGCTCATGCCACGACTCGGCAGCCAACCTGCCGCGGCCCAGTACTGGGCCGTGGCCTGGTGGTTGGGAACATCTGACTTGCAGCATCTGGATTCAATGAAAAGCATGGAAGGAACAATACTTAGCTGCAGTTGTTACAGTGGAGATACTGTAACCTCAGACATCCCACCGGCCCCCCTTATGTCCAGGGAAATATTCCAGTCCATCACACACTGCATACAGAAGGGTGTCAGAATGGACTTAGCCTTACATTAACATTAATATTAAATGGGAGGTGGGAATAGTTTACTCAAGATGATAGTGCTGTAGGGAGAGGTTCTGGCACGACTCGTCTGCACCAAGCCAAAAAAACTGAAAGAGGAAAAAATTATAGACCAAACTTTGCTTGACCTTAGTTTGCATTTGCTACCAGTGCTGGTGTTTGACTACTTGAGCCAATTTACAGAAATGCTTTAACATGTCCAAGCGGACGCAAAAGTAAAAAACATTTAAAGGTCAGGTCTGGAAACTTGTTCATTTAATCCAGATCCACACGCATATAAAAGCTTTGAGAAGTTCATGAGTGTTTTGCTGCAAATGTAAATAGCATGGTAAAATGTAAGATGGAAATCAGCTATCCTGGCAACTTCAGATGAAAGCTCTCATCAAAATGGGCAGAAAACCCCATGCTCCAGGACTGGTTGCATCCTACCACTGTGCTATCCAAGATGGACATCGTGTGCATATAGCAGTCTGCATTTTGTGTGTGGCCTATTGAAAAGACATTTACTTTTGTCATCTCACTTTGCAACCGATAACAAAAGCTTTCAAACATCAAACCTTTAAAGAGCCTAGCTCAAACTTAGCTGTACTTTTTTTAATTAAAAAAAAAAAAATTAAAAGATGCCTTTGGTGACTACTCTCTGTTTTATGCCAGTGTAGAAAATACTGGTTTTCTGTGATGTTCTAATTTTGAACACATTTGCCTCTGTTTTCGGGGTTATATAAACTAAACAAAGTTAATAGCTTTGAAGCAAAAAGATGGATAAAGAGCTATAACTCATTTATTTAAAAAACAGAAAGCTACAGTTCATCTTTCGGCTTCTTGAATCAGGTGTAGGATAGTAAACTATAGCTAATGGTCAGTATAGTTTTCGGCTTGTTTTTTAGTCTAGGTGAGGTCATTTTAGAGTAAAAAAATAACCTTCATACGCTCCTGGGCAAAGCTTGGTATGTATCGGGCATCCAAACAGTTACCATAGTACTAGGATTGGTATTGTTAAAAATAATGAAACTTTCTTCCATGGGAAAAGAAAGGATGGGTAGAAGTCCTGTAAGCAAACCATGAATGCTTTAAATATGAGGAAATGTTTTTTGGAAGGAGCAGATTCTTCATTAAAAGCAGTAATGTCTAGCTTTCTTGCCATCAAAACTATTTTAGGTTTCCACCTTCTTAAAATGCAGACAATATTTAAGATGCATTTTACTGGAGAAGAAAAGTCCTTCCAGAGGTTGCAAGCAGCGGTCGTTTTCTTTACAGGAAACAGAGAAACACCAAATCTTCCTGGGGAGGATGTTGAGACTGTACCTGTGGACTTTATAAGCTCCATAGACAATAGCAGCAAGACATAATCACAGATCTTAAAAAGATCACAGGAGACGTCTGAGGCCTTTGTAAGGATCATGCTGTACCTGGGTACTTTGAAAGTCCATGGATGGCGTTTACAAACCTTTTCAATTCTAGAGGGATAAGCAAAGAATTTACAAAGAGTCTGCAGTGCATTTAATGAAGGTTACAATGCATGCTGGGAAATAAAAGAAACAGAATTCAGGACTCTGAAAAGATGGAATTGAGCTAAACGTCATTTTTTGTTGGGTATCAAGCAGGTTTAAATGTTGCCGTTTTCAGCACATCTGTTGGATTTATTTGAATAATGAATTAGAGTAGGGGTCGGCAACCCACAGCCCATGTGCCAGATCTGGCAATCTGACCTGGCTCCGGCAGCATGGAGCATCGTGGCTGTGCTGAGCCACCCATCCCATTGGCAGCACCCTCCTCGGGAGCCCTCCCTGCTGCTCTCCTACCTGCATTTATCAGCACTGCAGGGTGGCCAGGTTTCTGCAGGAAGGGAAGTACAGGCAG